AAAGTACCCGTGTACTGAATCAATTGTCAGCAGAATATCTTTTCAGAAACCTTGGTACTACTATGTCATATAGTCTTGGTTGGATATCCTACTAAGAATTTGTCTCACGTCAGTACATTCACTAGGATGATACTTATATATAAGAATTTTTTAAATACTAGTGCTTAATTTTGACATTTCTATTGTTATTCTTCTGTTCTAATAAATTATTTAATACTTTTCAATTAACTTTGATCATTGATTATATACTGCAGTGATACACTATTTATTACGTTTAAGCTAGCTCTGATTATTATTTGAAGATCTGGTTGATATAAAATGAATTAATTCTTCAACGGCGAAGAAATATTAGTGAAAAATGAGATATTAGAGACTTTGTAATTTCAATATTGTTCAACGAAAACTTTCGACAACTTTTGTAGAAGTATTCCAGTTTGACATTAAAGTTTTAATGGTAAACGAAACTTATTCATAGCGGTCTTGAAGAATGACAATGTTTAATTCTTTTAGAAAAAAACTCTCATGAATATATATGTTTTGTTTCAGATAGAGATATTCTTCTCTATTTAATTTATTTTTTCTCATGATATTTTTATAATTTCAAGTTCTTAACATTTTAATGTATTATCGAGGACAAATTTCAGATGTACAAAGAGACTATTAGAGGAATATATTCAGACAAATAATTGATGGAAATGTTAATCATTTCTACTAATGAATAAGTAAATATTTTATACTATACATTTCAAACTTCCAATAGCAACTACATTTTGCCTTTTTAATAGATTTATTTTTGAAAAATTTGATTGTGCTTTGTAGATAATTTTAGCTGATATTATTTATTCCTTATTTTTATGTCATCGAAGGAAAGCAAGGAAAAATCAAATGATGCATTTGATAGCGAAATAAATCGTGTAGCAATCGATTCGTCTGGGCATCTCGGTATGTTGTATGATGGATATCGAGATCGTATCCTTGAAGAACTGAGCATTCATTGCCAAAACACAGAAAGTCACAAACTTACGTCAAAACGTTGCAATATCATGAAAGGCGAACATGATAGTGGTTACAATATTCTGAAAACACTCAGTTTTGAACAGGAACTAAGACTAAGTATACTATTGAATCTTTCAAAGACTGAAACAGTCCGAACCATTGATTATTTTCACCAGAAAAACGAATACATCCGTTTTTTCCAGTATTCTTCTTTGAATCGAGTAGAAAAACTTTCTGATATTCGCGGACATATCAAAATATTCGATACGACACCAATATTATTCAGTGCTGCAACTCATATAATAACAAAGGTTTATTTTGGAATTGACGTTACTGTCATTTTACAATTACCAGCTGTTGCAAGCATAGTTCCGGAGATTGATAATGTGCTTGATAAACTTCGTACACTCTTACAAAATGATCAGAATGCTTATACATTTAGTACAAATGACAGAAATCTTTTAGAAAAAATAGTTGATACCAAAGTCTATTCAAATATACCTCAAATAGGAACTTTGACTACGATCTTTGATGTTTACCATTACATAGAAAACAACAAAAATAAGCTTACGAATTATCCGACAACTTATAGCCTTCGACCTACCAAATGGCTGATTCCTGAATACGATGGAGAAAGGTCAAAATTCATTCTTTTATCGAAAGAGCTCAATGAAATTATCGAAGACTACGCACTTCAACTAATAGTTGATATGAAACAACTAGAAAAAACTATTACAGAGCATATGTCAAACGTCTTATGTAAACATTTGAAACAACAATTTAGCAATATAGAAAAACAATGGTTTGATGTGAAAAAGAAATTTATAAATGAAATTGAACGAATTGCCAATTTAGTTATTCAAATTCGCAGTGGCCAAGCTGGAAACCTAATCATCGAGCAAATATTTAACAATAACGAACAAATGATGATGAACAATAATGTTAACGATTTAATGAAAAATCTTAAAAATCTCGAAGAAAAAGAAAATTTTATCAGATTTTAATTCAACAAAATTTTCAATACTTGAATATCACCGAGTATAATATCAATCAAACAGATAATGAAAAATCTATTCAACATAAACTCGTTCAAAATGATCAACATCATCGAATTCTCTGTTCAAATGATTGTTTAAACAAGGATAATTCAGAAAAATTGCATAACATAATCTGTGATTTAGTAGAAGAAGCCAAGAACAATTCGAATATACATCTTATCTATGCTGATTTTTCCGATTGTTCTTTTCAATTATCTTCTATGATGGTATTATCATCAGTAAAAGACATTTATGAAGACATAACCCATCAACCTTCACCTCCTTTAACTACAACGATAGAAACATCTCCTTCATCGTTTACACAACCTGAGGTTCCTATTCTACCATCCGGTGATACAGATATTTCTAGTGTAACGTTAGCAGTAACATCAATGGCAATTGATGATACTATCAATATTCTTCTTTTGGGTGAAACAGGTGTTGGAAAATCAACTTTCATTAATGCTTTTGCTAACTATCTTACATTTAACACACTTGAAGAAGCTGAGATAGGTCAACGAGTTGTACTTATACCTGTTTCATTTATGATCACGATGGGTGATAATTTTGAAGAACATATTGTTAAATTTGGTGATATTGATGATTTAAATAATGAAGATTTTAATCATCCTGGTCAATCTGTCACACAACATTGTAAATCTTATATATTTAATCTAAATGATTCTGATCGAAGAAAGCTTCGTATTATTGATACACCTGGTTTTGGTGATACACGAGGTATTGAACAAGATGATCGTAATATGGAACATATTTTAGAATATCTAAGCAATTTTACTCATTTAAATGCAATTTGTTTTCTCTTCAAACCAAATGAATCAAAATTGAATATCTATTATCGATTATGTTTTACTCGATTATTCTCTCTTTTACATCAAAATAATGTTAATAACGTTATCTTTTGTTTTACCAATAGTCGATCGACATTTTATACTCCTGGAGATTCGGGTCCAATACTTAAAAGGATGCTTACTTCTCTTTCAATTAGTGGTGTTCCATTCAATAAAAAGAATACATTTTGTTTTGATAGTGAATCATTTCGTTATTTGGTTGCTCTACAGAATGGAATTCAGTTCAGTGATTTAGACAAACAAGAATATGTAATGAGTTGGATTAAGTCAGTAATTGATGCAAAACGACTTATTCAATATATCTGCAAAGAACTTACTGATCGTTGTATACAACAAGAATAAAACCTTTTTGAGTATGTCTAGTTTCTAATCACTATTTGATTCATTAGAAATCAAAAATAGTTGCTGATATTCTTCAAAATAGCATTTCATCTAAATAATTCAATAAATAAGAAATTCTTATTTATTTTCATGAATTGTGCATTATTTATCTATAATGTACATAGTGCGTTCACCTGCATCATATCCAATTGAATAGTTTTTATTGTACGTGTTTTGTCAAAAAATAAAATTCTATGTAGTTGATCATAGTTACGCTTCAATTGATATAACTGCTTACATTTTATTTTTTGTTTTGAATTTTTTTTTAGAAATATTGAAATACTTTTCCAGCCTTTATAACAATAGATATATCTACTATATTTAATCGACGATATGATATAAATAATGCACTTGCTCATTCTTTGCGAGATATTTCCTTCTCATATAATTAGGTGCAAATAAGTGTTTGAGGAAATGGTCTAAATCAAAATCTAAAGTTAAATAATCTCAATTAATAATTGATGAAAGTATTTAAAGACTTTAAAAGAACATTGAAAATTATGTACAATCCCATAACTATCTCTAATAACTACCGTCTATCATTGAATAATGATAGTCAGGGAGAATCGTATAGTGCATAATCAAATGAATTCTAATACCGAAGATAATTAATGTAAAACACTTCAGTATAAATATTTCGATCGAAATTTTTACATTAGTTTCATTTTATTTTGTTGGTTATCTATCGATACATTTTCACTTTTCTATTTGCATTGTTTTTTTTCCAGATAGCAATAAGGTCTATATCTCATCATTTTGTCTCGTCTAAGTCTTACATGATAACACGTCGCAGATCTGTTGAAAGTTGAGATGCAATGTTATAGCTTTATTTTTATTTCTTTTTTGTTTTTTATTCTTTACCTGTAAGAAGAGAAGAACAGTATTTATAATTGATGTGATAGCAATTACATTGAAAGAGTGTGCTCTCAACGTCATGAAAGTACACAGAAACCTGAAGTTGTTGCTACGAAGGTAGGAAGTAAAAAAGTGAAGCCAGTTGAAGTATTGAATTTTACGTGTTTTGTCATGGAAATTTAAGGCAAATGTTCTTCGAAGAAAACTTTTTTCTTTCACTTCTGTTGGAAAATATCTCAAAAACACTAGCTCAAACGAATGGTGAAGTATATAAGATAAAACTTTGCACCCACATCTCCCTTCAAACAAACAATGACAATCATTACGGCGAACACATCACAGATTGAAGTAGACCTTCATCATATATGATCAAAGAACATATATCAATAAAGTCTCGTTATCAAATATTAGCTACTTTTTTATTGCATTTCTAGAAGATCAAGTCATGTTTCACATTTAAATTCGAGAGAGATTGCACTAACAGCTTTTTTGCTATGTTCTCACTATGCTAAAGTATTTTTTACATCATCTATTTGCTATAACACTACGATATGCATTATCTTTTTATTATATTTATTTAAGGAAAAATGAATTCATCAATGTTTTAGATATCAACTATTAATAATATTTACTCTCAATGCCAACAATGAACAAAAGGAATTCTATCAGTCAGAAGAATTCATTATTGACTCCCATAGAACGTATGGCAATAGATTCATCTGGATATCTTGGCTCACTTTATGATCAATATTCTGATTCTATAGTTCAACAAATAAATATGAGTAATAGAGGACAAAGTTTTCAATTAGAGGAGGATCCTGTCCGATGTAAGATTATTTATGGCAATACATGCCAAAGTCGAAATCTTCTTCGGATTATTGGAATTGAAAATGTTTTGCGGCTAAATATCTTATTGAATATTTTTCCACGAAAGAGATTAGCCTCAATTATCAACTATCCTTATCCAATAAATGAATACACTCGCTTTATACATTATTCTTACGAAGATAAAATTGAAAAACTTCCAGAAGATATAAGAGAAGTTAGAAACTTGATCCGATCAGTAAATCTTCAAACTAATGCTACTCATATTATAACAAGTATCAATTGGGGAATTGAAGCTATTATTATTATACAATTATCATCTAACAATAATATTGTCACACAAATAGATCAAATACTGAATAAAGTCGAAAG